TTTTAATGCCCAATTTACAATAATTCGAGCTTCTCTGGTTCCTTTCCTGGTGGCACAGATGGTAAAGAATCTGCCTGCGATGCAGGAGACCTAAGTACAATCCCTGGGTTGGGAATATACCCTGGAGAAGCGAATGGCAACCCACTTCAGCATTCTTGCCTGGGGAAAAATTCCATGGACAGAGGAGCCTGGTAGGCTACAATCCATGGGGTTGCCAAGAGTCAGACACGACTGAGTGACTAACACTTAAATACCCCTTAAAAGGGACATAGCTATCTTTGTCTCCCAGTCGTTCTGGGGAGCCTCTGAAAGGGATCGTGGCGGCAGCCCCCAGCCAGTCTCTGGTGCAGTCACCAAGCCGGCTGCTGTCCCACCCTCCCCTCCGCTGTGCAGCTCCTGGTGCAGGGTCTTGGGGTGCAGGGCGCGGTGATGTATCAGTGGGGGCTGCTGTGAGGACACCAACTCTGACGTCTCCCTCACCCCGCCACTGACCTGGGAGGGAACGAGACACCGCCAGGACACCTGAAGAGGCTGGTGTAAAGGCTGCCCCCAACACTGTGCTGGACTATCTCTCCCCTCTCTCCTAGTTTGTACTATTCTCCTTAACTATCTCCAGAAGACCTGCTTCTGATCCTTGTCCAACATCTTATAGAGATGTTCATGAAAAGAGTTCCTTCCCGGATGGTTCAAACCCCATCCAGGAGGCCTTCCTCTGTAACACAAATGCTCTCATGCATATGGATGAACAAAAGCAGACGTGGGAACATGAGTTCCCTATACTAACAGCATCACCTGTACTAACAGCATCTGTTTTTGCCCCACCCCAAATGTCCCATCCCAGGGGCACCTCTGTTCGCCTCATGAGTGCACAGCAGAATACACAGTTAGCTGGCTCTGATTTATAATAGGAAGGAATTAGTGATTGATAACCAACTTACATCAGTTTATTGACTAAAGGTAAACTGAATCACCCACATCTTTTTTTCCACATTTATTTAGTTGGCTGGGTCTTCATTGCGTCATGTAGGGTCTTTTGCTGTGGCGCGTGGACTCTCTAGTTCTGGTGGGCAGGCTTTGGTAGCTGCAGCACACAGGCTGAGTTGCTCTGGGGCATGTGGGATCTTAATTCCCAGACCAGAGATGGATGGAACCTGCGTCCCCTGCATTGCAAGGCGGATTCTTAACCACTGGACCACCAGGGAAGTCCCAAGTCAGTTTAAAAGGCAAAATAATTGACAAAAGTGGACAAAATTACTGGATAATACATTTAAATGTAGATTATTCTGGAGTGCACAAACATTAATAATAAAAAACACTAGTGATTTGAAAGATTCATTTTGATCAATAGCCTTTCAGAGGTTTACTTAGAACCAAGGAGGAAATTTTAAATTCATGGAAAACAGTGTTAAGCAATCAGAGTAAGAACAATGATTCAAAAGAATTAGGAAAAATATCCCCCAATTTGGAAATAGTTTTCTTAAAATATACAGAAAATTCATAGGACTTGTAAATGTTATCATCCTCATCCAAACTCTTACATTAAAAAAAAAAAATCATGGTAAGTAAAAAAAAAATGCTTAAAGGCTCATAAAAGTTTGCCAGAATTTTATTTGTATTTACGATTTTTAAATTTATTTACTGGTCGCACTGGGTCTGGATTGCCGCACGTGGGCGTTTTCTAGTTGTGGCAAGCGGGGGCCATTAGTTGCAGTTCGAGGGCTTCTCATTGTGGAGCACAGGTTCTAGGGGTGCTTGGGCTTCAGTAGTTGCATCCCACAGGCTCTGTAGTTATGGCTCAAGGGTTTAGTTGCTTTGCCACACTTGGAATCGTCCCAGACCAGGGATCGCACCCATGTCCCCTGAACTGGCAGGCAGTCCTACCCACTGTACCACCAGGGAGGTCCCTGTATTTATTTTTATTTATTTTACTATTTTTTACTTCTCTGGCTTTTATAATTGGTTATTTGGTGTCTTAAAGCTATCATGTATTTGGTTTGGAGGTGGAGCCACTTTTGTTAAGTGGAGACCAGTGTGGGGGTTCCCTGGGCTCCTGGCTGCTTCCTGTCTATGGCAAAACATATTGCTCAGCCATTCTAGAAGCAGTGCTGAACTTAGACTGAAACACGGTCCAGGTTTCAGTGAAGCCCCTTTGGAGGGGGTGTGCTCACCATGGGTGTCATGGGGGCTGGGACCCCTCAGGGTGCTCTTGCACATCCTCCCTGCTTGTGGATTTTCTGAGGGTCTCTGGCCCGGGGAGGAGCCTCAGGGAGCAGCTCTGCCCCTGCAGTCATGGTTCCCGTCCTGGGACCACGTCTTAGCCTAGGATCTGAGGAGGCAGCACGTCTCATACTCAGTGGAAATGACCTCTCAAAGGGGCTCCTCCTCCCAGTCCTGGTTCAGACCCCAGACCCAGGTGAGGCAGGCTCCACTCCTGCTGGGGATGATTCTTCTCCATTGCCCCTTCTCTCGGTGACCCTCCTCAGTGCCCACCCCCAGTGCAGGTCACCCTGCCCTTTGTCCTTTTCATCCCCCTGTTCCTACACCCTCTGGGGTACCTGCAGGATCAAGCATGAGGTCAGAAAGGCACCTGGAGGCAGAATTTCAGCATGGGCTGCCTCTCGTGGTCTCCTCCCCAGGGCAGGGCCTCTCCCATCTCATACTGTCCAGGCGCTGAGGCAGATCTTGGCCTCAGTCCTCAGTGTTCCAGCTCCAGGAAGGTGGGTCTGAGGGGGTGCAGGATGGCCACCCATTTACGTGGTGGAACACTGCTGAAAATGGAGCACAGAGCTTGAAGCTCTCAGAGACTCCTGGGTGACCCCTGACGGTGGCCTTGCAGAGTCCTCAAGTCCATTCTTCTGCCTGAAATCAGGATTGTATCTGAGTCATTATGCAAATTTAACATCCTAGAGAAGCCGCCTAATACAGTTTCCACCCATGAAGATCACCCTGGGAGAGGCTGTGAGGTGTGAGGACTCAGGACTTGGGTATCCCAGTCATCATGAGCTAGTTCAGTCTCTCTGGGATTCAGTTTGCTTAACAGAAAGATGCTCCTTGGAAGAAAAGTTATGACTAACCTAGACAGCATATTAAAAAGCAGAGACATTACTTTGCTAACAAAGGTCCATCTAGTCAAAGCTATGGTTTTTCCAGTAGTCATGTATGGATGTGAGAGTTGGACTATCAAGAAAGCTGAGTGCCAAAAAATTGATGCTTTTAAACTGTGGTGTTGGAGAAGACTCTTGAGAGTCCCTTGGACTGCAAGGAGATCCAACCAGTCCATCCTAAAGGAGATCAGTCCTGGGTGTTCATTGGAAGGACTGGTGCTGAAGCTGAAACTCCAATACTTGCAAAGAACTGATTCATCTGAAAAGACCCTGATGCTGGGAAAGACTGAAGGCAGAAGGTGATGACAGAAGGTGAGATGTTGGATGGCATGACCGACTCGATGGACATGAGTCTGAGTAAACTCCAGGAGTGGGTGATGGACAGGGAAGCCTGGCGTGCTGCAGTCCATGGGGTTGCAGAGTCAGACATGTCTGAGCGACTGAACTGATGAACTGAACTGAAAATGTACAGGGATTAGACCTGGTGCCTTCTCATTCTCTTCTCTCAGTGGCATTTTACGGTGTTTGGAGTCTGGTGGTGTCTGGGGGAACAGTCCTGATGACGGGTGTGTGGAGGCAAAGGAAGGGCTTTGCAGGCTGTGGTCAGGGACCAGGGAGAACATGGATACCCCTGGCCTTCTGCCAGCACTCACCCTGGCAGGTGGTTTCTTACCAAGACATCAGTCCCCAGCAGTGGAGATCGGAGGGGAGTCCGGTGACCCCTAGAAGCACGTCAGGAAAAGGCAGCAAGTCCAGTTCTCAAGTTAATGATGCGCTAAGAGATTCACAGACAAGAGCATCCTCATCATTTGAGAGGCCTTCAGTGATTCCGAGAGCTGGGTCATCGATGAAGATGCTGATCCCGAGCAAAGCCTGAGACCGAAATCAATCAAGCAGCCGTGTTTATAGAGTAACGTGTAGAAAATAGATGCTTTTAATTGCTAATTGTTCTCGAGACCCCTACTAAGAATTTTTTTTTTTTTTTAATGTGGCCTAAATGTTCTCCTCGCAGGCATGGGTGAAGGAATTACAGTTTATTCAGAGGCTGACATGCTGCTGATTGAAGTACAAAGCAGGGTAATCAAGGTTGGTTTTGTTTTTTGCATATGGCTTTTAACATTTACAAAGGAAATGATTTCAAGGGGTACACGCTAGGAAGAAATAAACTGTAAACAGTTACCAATCAGTCAAATACTCCGATTACTAAGAATATCTCCCCCTCCCACCCTCATCTCTTACCATCCCTCCCCCATAATCAGCATATAAATGCAACAGGAATATATTCTTTTGTTCACAACTCTAGGTGGGGAGGGGATAAAGCGTCAGACTTAAGGTTTGTCCGGAGCTCTGAGACTCCAGTTCCCTGGCTTGGATACCTTCACACACAAAACCTCCTCCCTGACCCAGGCAAGGAGGCAGCCTCATGGGATTACCTCCAATTCAGGTGAAAAGAACAAAAGCCTCTTTGTCTTCCATCCCTGCTCCCCAGAACTGGACTCGGGGTGGGGGGCGGTGGGGGGCTCCTCGATGGTGTGTTTTAATATAGGAGAAAGGTCAGAGAGCATGAGGAAATTGAGTTGACCTAGACAGCAAGTCTGCAGAATGCCTGTTCTTGGAAGAATTCCTCTCTTGCTGGAGTTTTGAGAAAATAGCCTTTTCCTGGAGTCCTGTAGCCCCAGGAGTATCTTGCAGGACACCTTACAATGTCAGTGGGTTGACAGGCCTGGGAACCTCAAGGTCACTGGTAATATAATGTGTTCAAATCACCCTTGCATTATGGGGGATGGATAACGCTGTTCACCCACCTACACCAGGGCAGAATCAAGCCATGGTGATCCTTGAGAAACATCCTTGGGCTATTTCTCAGGATAGGTGGTCATAAAACCCCTCAGAGCCATGGGGTTTTCCAACATACAGAAAGAACCCCTCCAGTCATCAAGCAGCCTTCAGACTGAGGTCTACACCTTTTTAAGGTATGAGTGCCTGGTTGTTGTTCAGTTGCTAAGTTGTGTCCGACTCTTCGTGACCTTGTGGACTGCAGTGCGCCAGGCTCCTCTGTCCTCCATTGTCTCCTGGAGTTTGCTCAAATTCATGACCATTGAATCAGTGATGCTATCTAACCATCTCATCATCTGTCCCCCACTTCTTCTCTTGCCCTCAATCTTTCCCTGCATCAGGGTCTTTTCCAATGAGTCAGCTCTTTGCATCAGGTGGCCAAAGTGTTGGAGCTTCAGCATCAGTCCTTCCAATGAATATGCAGGTTTGATTTCCTTTAGGGTTGACTGGTTTGATCTCCTTGCGGTCCAAGGGATTCTAAAACTGGGTCACTTTTTAAGCTCAATTTTTGAGCCAAGCCTAACTTCAGGACAAGATGTGTACACAGGTAACAATGTGACCTGTGTCTGCTCCCTCCTTTCCTAAGTCCAATATTAGCCCACAGAACTATTCAGGTCTTCCATTGCCTCAAAGGAAACCACAGTTCAGAGGAACACACACAGAGCAAGAAGCATGTCAGAGACAGGCAAATTGGAGCTCTCTGCAAAAATCAGCCCTTCCTCCTTGGCTTCACTGCTGTTTTATTTTTTAATTATTTGTTTCCAAGTGTAATGGATCTTTGCCATTTTCCTGGGAGGTAGTATTCTTCTGGTCTACTGTCTTGGTTGGGATGAGATGGGGGCACAGTTTGAGCCTTCCTATCACGGTTGCTCTTGCTCCACAATGGGGACCCGCCAGCTGGGAGGTGTACGCATCCTGAGTAAGTAAGGACTGGCAGTGACCGCAGGGTGGGCCTGTGGGCTGTGATCCCCTGTTGAATGTCTGGACCAGGCCCACATGCTCTGTATACCCTGTGACCACTGTGCTTCTGGGGGCCCTGGAATCAGTGACAGCTCAGATCCCATATCCAACAGATCTCAAAAGTTCGAGGTTTTCTCCTCCCCAGTATTCAGTGACCACAGCACATGACTTTATTTCTCTCTGGGGAAAGATTGGGGGAATTAGTACCACCCTCAGAGACTTGTCTCAGATAATAAAGAATCTGCTTTCAATGTGGGAGACCTAGGTTTGATCCCTGGGTCTGGAAGATCCCCTAGAGAAGGGAAAGGCTACCCACTCTGGTGTTCTGGCCTAGAGAATTCCAGGGACTGTATAGTCCATGGGGTCACAAAGAGTTGGACACGACTGAGCGACTTTCACTTTTTTCATTGAAAAGAGCAGACACCACTGTGTATTAAGACTCGAAGCCATTCTTCTCCTGGCTCCTCTTCAGTCACACAAGTCTCCTCTGTTTCCAAAGAACATACCTCCATGCAACCTTTACAGGGTGTAGCTCCCTCTGCCTGGAATGGCTCACCTCAGCTCCAGGTCTTTTCATGGTACTTCTTAGTGGTGCATCTCCTGACTATGCTATCTAAAACTATAACCTAGGACTTCCCTGCTGGTCCAGTGCGTAAGAACCAGCCTTGCAATGCAGGGGATGTGGGTTTGATCCCTAATCAAGGAACTAAGATCCCACATGCCTTGGAGCTACTGAGCCCATGCACTTTGGAGCCCTCCATGCATTGCAGGGAAAGATCATGACACAATTAAGACCCGAGGAAGCCAAATAAATAACTATTAATTAAAAACACAAACCTGTAATCCACCCAACCCATCCTATCCTCTTTCTAGGCTTTTCTCCATAGCACTTCAGTCAGTTCAGTTCAGTTGCTCTGTCGTGTCCGACTCTTTGTGACCCCATGAACCGCAGCACGCCAGGCCTCCCTGTCCATCACCAACTCCCGGAGTTTACTCAAACTCATGCCCATCGAGTTGGTGATGCCATCCAGCCGTCTCATGCTCTATCGCCCCCTTCTCCTCCTGCCCCCAATCCCTCCAAGCATCAGGGTCTTTTCCAATGAGTCAACTCTTTTCATGAGGTGGCCAAAGTACTGGAGTTTCAGCTTCAGCATCAGTCCTTCCAGTGAACACCCAGGACTGATCTCCTTTAGGATGGACTGGTTGGATCTCCTTGTAGTCCAAGGGATTCTCAAGAGTCTTCTCCAACACCACAGTTCCAAAGCATCAATTTTTTGGTGCTTAGCTTTCTTCACAGTCCAACTCTCACATCCATATATTACCACCGGAAAAACCATACCCTTGACCAGATGGACCTTTGTTGGCAAAGTAATGTCTCTGCTTTTTAATATGCTATCTAGGTTGGTCATAACTTTCCTTCCAAGGAGTAAGCGTCTTTTAATTTCATGGCTACAATCACCATCTGCAATGATTTTGTAGCCCAAAAAAATAAAGTCTGACACTGTTTCCACTGTCTCCCCATCTATTTCTCATGAGGTGATGGGACCAGATGCTATGATCTTAGTTTTCTGAATGTTAAGCTTTAAGCCAACTTTTCACTCTCTCCTCTTTCACTTTCATCAAGAGGCTTTTTAGTTCCTCTTCACTCTCTGCCATAAGGGTGGTGTCATCTGCACATCTGAGGTTATTGATATTTCTCCCGGCAATCTTGATTCCAGCTTGTGCTTCTTCCAGCCCAGCGTTTCTCATGATGTACTCTGCATAGAAGTTAAATAAGCAGGGTGACAATATACAGCCTTGACGTACTCCTTTTCCTATTTGGAACCAGTCTGTTGTTCCATGTCCAGTTGCTTCCTGACCTGCATACAGGTTTCTCAAGAGGCAGGTCAGGTGGTCTGGTATTCCCATCTCTTTCAGAATTTTCCACAGTTTATTGTGATGCACACAGTCAAAGGCTTTCGTGTAGTCAATAAAGCAGAAATAGATGTATTTCTGGAACTCTCTTGCTTTTTCGATGATCCAGCGGATATTGGCAATTTGATCTCTGGTTCCTCTGCCTTTTCTAAAACCAGCTTGAACATCTGGAAGTTCACGGTTCACATATTGCTGAAGCCTGGCTTGGAGAATTTTGAGCATTACTTTACTAGCATGTGAGATGAGTGCAATTGTGCAATAGTTTGAGCATTCTTTGGGATTGCCTTTCTTTGAGATTGCCTTTCTTAGGGATTGGAATGAAAACAGACCTTTTCCAGTCCTGTGGCCACTGCTGAGTTTTGCAAATTTGTTGGCATATTGAGCACAGCACTTTCACAGCATCATCTTTCAGGAGTTGAAATAGCTCAACTGGAATTCCATCACATCCACTAGCTTTATTTGTAGTGATGCTTTCTAAGGCCCACTTGACTTCACATTCCAGGATGTCTGGCTCTAGGTGAGTGATCACACCATTGTGATTATCTGGGTCGTGAAGATCTTTTCTGTACAGTTCTTCTGTGTATTCTTGCCGCCTCTTCTTAATATCTTCTGCTTCTGTTAGGTCCATACCATTTCTGTCCTTTATGGAGCCCATCTTTGCCTGAAATGTTCCCTTGGTATCTCTAATTTTCTTGAAGAGATCTCTAGTCTTTCTCATTCTGTTGTTTCCCTCTATTTCTTTGCTTTGTTCGCTGAGGAAGGCTTTCTTATCTCTCCTGGCTATTCTTTGGAACTCTGCATTCAAATGGGAATATCTTTCCTTTTCTCCTTTGCTTTTTGCTTCTCTTCTTTACACAGCTATTTGTAAGGCCTCCTTAGACAACCATTTTGCCTTTTTGCATTTATTTTCCATGGGGATGGTCTTGATCCCTGTCTCCTGTACAATATCACAAACCTCCGTCCATAGTTCATCAGGCTGTCTGTCTATCAGATCTAGTCCCTTAAATCTATTTCTCACTTCCACTGTATAGTCATAGGCATTTGATTTAGGTCATACCTGAATGGTCTAGTGGTTTTCCCTACTTTCTTCAGCTTAAGTCTGAATTTGGCAGTGAGGAGTTCATGATCTGAGCCACAGTCAGCTCCTGGTCTTGTTTTTGTTGACTGTATAGAGCTTCTCCAACTTTGGCTGCAAAGAATATAATCAATCTGATTTTGGTGTTGACCATCTGGTGATGTCCATGTGTAGTCTTCTCTTGTGCTGTTGGAAGAGGGTGTTTGCTATGACCAGTGTGTTCTCTTGGCAAAACTCTATTAGCCTTTGCCCTGCTTAATTCTATACTCCAAGGCCAAATTTGCCTGTTACTCCAGGTGTTTCTTGACTTCCTACTTTTGCATTCCAGTCCCCTATAATGAAAAGGACATCTTTTTTTGGGGTGTTAGTTCTAAAAGGTCTTGTAGGTCTTCATAGAACCGTTCAACTTCAGCTTCTTCAGTGTTACTGGTTCGGGCATAGGCTTGGATTACCGTGATATTGAATGTCTTGCCTTGGAAACAAATAGAGATCATTCTGTCGTTTTTGAGATTGCATCCAAGTACTGCATTTCGGACTCTTTTGTTGACCATGATAGCTACTCAATTTCTTCTAAGGGATTCCTGCCCACAGTAGTAGATATAATGGTCATCTGAGTTAAATTCACCCATTCCAGTCCATTTTAGTTCACTGATTCCTGGAATGTCGACATTCACTCTTGCCATCTCCTGTTTGACCACTTCCAATTTGCCTTGATTCATGGACCTAACATTCCAGGTTCCTATGCAATATTGCTCTTTACAACATTGGACCTTGCTTCTATTACCAGTCACATCCATAAGAGGGTTTTTTTTTTTTTTCCTTTGGCTCCATCCCTTCATTCTTTCTAGAGTTATTTCTCCATTGATCTCCAGTAGTATATTGGGCACCTACCAACCTGGGGAGTTCCTCTTTCAGTATCCTATCATTTTGCCTTCTCATACTGTTCATGGGGTTCTCAAGGCAAGAATACTGAAGTGGTTTGCCATTCCCTTCTCCAGTGGACCACATCTGTCACACCTCTCCACCATGACCCGACCGTCTTGGGTGGCCCCACACGGCACGGCTTAGTTTCATTGAGTTAGACAAGACTGTGGTCCTGTGATCAGATTGGCTAGTTTTCTGTGATTATGGTTTTAGTGTGTCTGCCCTCTGATGCCCTCTCACAACACCTACCGTCTTACTTGGATTTCTCTTACCTCAGACGTGGGATATCTCTTCACGGCTGCTCTAGCAAAGTGCAGCTGCTGCTCCTTACCTTGGACGAGGGGTATCTTCTCATGGCCGCCCCTCCTGACCTTGAATTTGGAGTAGCTCCTCTCAGCCCTCCTGCGCCCGGCACTTAGAACCACCTTAAATTTTATTGTATTTATTAACTGATTCTGTTGCCTGTCTCCTTTATTAGAATGGAAACTCCAAATGAGGGCAGGGATCAGTTACTGTGTTGGTGATGGCTGAGTCTCCAGTGCCTAGAAAAGAGCCCAACACAGGGCAGGTACCCTTTGGTGGTGGTGGTGGGTTAGTTGCCAAGTCATGTCCCACTCTTGCGACCCCATGGAATGTAGCCTGCCAGATTCCTCTGTCCATGGGGTTCTCCAGGCAAGAATACTGGAGTGGGTTGCCATTTCCTTCTCCAGGGGATATTCCTGACCTAGAGGTTGAACCCGGGTCTCCTGCACTGTGGGAAGTTTCTTTACTGACTAGGTTACCACGGAAGCCCAGTTCAGTTCAGTTCAGTTGCTCAGTCATGTCCGACTCTTTGCAACCCTATGAATCATAGCATGCCAGGCCTCCCTGTCCATCACCAACTCCTGGAGTTTACTCAAACTCATGCCCATGGAGTCGGTGATGCCATCCAGCCATCTCATCCTCTGTCACCCCCTTCTCCTGCCCCCAATCCCTCCCAGCATCAGGGTCTTTTCCAATGAGTCAACTCTTCGCATGAGGTGGCCAAAGTATTGGAGTTTCAGTTTCAGCATCAGTCCTTCCGATGAACGCCCAGGACTTATCTCCTTTAGGATGGACTGGTTGGATCTCCTTGTAGTCCAAGGGACTCTCAAGAGTCTTCTCCAACACCATAGTTCAAAAGCATCAATTTTTCGGCCCTCAGCTTTCTTCACAGTCCCTGAGTTAAATAAATGATTGAATGATGAATGATGTGGGTTAATTACTCTCCACCCACAGGTGACCCAGCCTTTTCTGAATGCTCACTGTCTCACTTCCTGTTAGAGCCCCACCCCCACCAGTCCCAATGTGCCTTCTGGTCGGTCCTGTAGGCCAAGCAATATAATTCAAGACATGAATGTTTCATGCAAGTTCTATTTTTGTTTTGTTTAGTTTTGAACTGGGAGGGACATCCAAAGAATCTAATTTTTCATACTGATCAGTGTAAAAGCTGAATGATTCTTTTAATACCCTTTGAAATAATTTTGTTAGAAATTTGCTTCATGTTTTCACACCCATTTTCTTGGGAGAAATGGGTTTATAGATCTCCTTCGTTTGTGCTATACTTTACCTGTGACATGATTTAATGCTCATTGTTATGTTATTTTCCCAAATATTAAATTGACTTTCTCTCCCTCTGCCCCCCTTCCAGGATCTATGTTATGACACAGGAATTACTGGACGTTTGAAAGAACTCACTCATGAAACTCTCCAGGCCCAGTCATTTTTGCAGGCAACTGTGAGTAATTTCTAGTCTCCTTCATGCACAGTAGTCTGTTCCGGTATTATAGATTTTATTACAGTAATTTTGATAATGTAATATTTTCTGCTAAAATTATCTATTTCACCTATATTTTTCATTTGAGCTCAAAAGAGCATATGTGAACAATTTAAAAATTTCCTGTATCTGTTTTAATACATTTCATATCTAATTTTAGTTCAGATATTCTTTTCTTCTAGATTAACTATTAGACGTTTGTTTTATACTGTTGTATTTCATTGATATTTTATTCTACATTTCTTTAATGTTTTACTCTATGTTTCTCTCTTAATTCATTAATGTCTCCTTTTAATTTGTTATTTCTTTATCCTGTTTTCCTTAAGGTTACCTTACTCTTTTCTTCAAATTTCTTTATATGCACCTTTAACTTCATTTATTTTATCTTATAAATAAAAAAAGCATTTAAGTCTAAGAATATAGTATTTAAAACTCTATATTTTTTTATATGTAGTGTTACTGATTAAAAGTTCTATAATAAAGAACTTGTCTGATCTTTGTCCTGGGTTCCTGGACTGGAGCTCCTAAACTCTTGGAAATTCCCAAGTGATGTCTGAATCTTTGTTATTCATGATGAGCCCTGGATTATAGCTTAGCTGGTCCCAAAGAGGTGGCTCAGGTGGGGGCTGGTCTTGCTGTAAAGACCAACCATGTGATTAGCGGGTTTCTCTTTTGAGCCATGAGATACCAGCCAGCCCAGCCTCCTGCCCTCCAGGTAGGGAAGGTGGAATAGAGATTGAGTTCAATCACATGAGCGATGCAATCAGTCATGCTAGGTAATAAAACCCCAATAAAAACTCTGAACACCAAGACTTGGGTGAGATGTGCCAGGATGACAGTGCATCCTGACCGCACAGGGATAGAGCGCCGGAGCTCCGTGCTGGGACCTTCCCTACTGTCTCTTTACTGACTGGTCTTGGTTTGTGTTGTTTAGAATAAAGCTGTAACAATAAGCATAGCACATTCCTGAATTCAGTGAGTGTTGCCAGTGAATTATTGAAGCTGAGCATGACATAAGAGCACCCCTGGATTGTAGCCAGTTGGTCAGGAGTGCAGGTGGCTGAGGGATCCCCAAAATTTGCCCCTGGACTCTTGACATGAGGGCAGCCTTGTTGGGGATCACGCTCCAAAGCTGTGGAGAGGGTGCTAACTCTGAAAGGTTTGCGTCAGAGCCGCACTGCAGAGTTGCAGTCTGTGCATTATTTAATATTTTATTTTTTAACACAAGTATATATTTTAATCTCTTTGCTCTAGGAGTTGTTTGATATTCCTTTCAGATTCTCAATATAGTTCGAAATAGCCATGGGGTGTTTTGTTTTTTATTTGTTGCTGTTTTGTGAACAAAGAGGAGCAGCGGTGTAACCAGCCCACCAGCCCAGTGATCATTTCATCAGTCATAAGTCTCTGTAGCTATTCAACCAAGTCATGGTTACAACTTCCTTATGACTCTTTCTTCTATTTTTCCACACTGTTTGTATGTATGCTGATTTGATGGTGACGGGTAAGGCATGTTCCTGGATATGAGGTTAATCTATAAAGTTGCTAATCCAATAAAAAATAGTTGATGTCCTCTTCAGTGACGAAAGAAAAACATGCCTGGAGAGGACATGAAAACGATTTTCTATTAAATTGCTATTATTCCTCTGCATGCTTTGCTTGACACTTCTGTGGGAGAATGCTCACACAGTTTGTACTTGGTTGGAATGAGTGTCGGAGGCCTCCGGAAAGCAGAGTATGCTAGGGCAGCAATCACTGTTTCTAGTTTTCAAATTTATTTTATTAAAAAAAAAAAATTTGGCCATGCTACATGGTGTGTGGGATCTTAGTTCGCCCACTGGGGATCAAACCCACACAACCCCTGCATTGGATGCATGAAATTTTAACTTAGTAAAGGTCTTAAATGAAAATATGGTCAGAGTGGAAACATAACAGATCACACCTGAAATCAGGGAAATCGCCTGGAGAAAAAGTGCTGCAGTGGTGGGCTGTGAATGAGGCAAAGGATCTTTTCTGATGAGTCATTATTTTCTAATGGGTCTTTCCCACCCTCTTGGTCCAGGAGATTCTATCTGGAATGCTATGAGAGCCCAAGAGCTTGAATCATAGTCCCTGACAATTAGAGCAACTTCAATTTGTTTAAGTTGAGAGATGTAAAGAAAAAGAGAAGGAGCAGAGACAAGCAGAATGGGCCCCCTGAAAGTAAAAAGAAAATGGAAATAAACATTTAATATCAAAGAGAAATGGCTACCACATAAATATACAACTCATCTTCCTGGACTTCCTTCTTTTCTAAAATAAGTACATTTTCTCAAACTCTTATACAGGGGTAAAAAAATAAAATATTAGAACCCAACTAACAGGCACAATGAAATTGGCACCAGGAATTCTTTTTTTAACCGACAACATAATATCTAGCAAATGTAATCTGTGATCCTTAACAATGATTTATATTTTTTATAATACAATAATAGCCAGCTGTTAATGGTGATTTATATTTTTGTAACGTGATCTCAACTGGATGTAATATAATGAACATATTTTAAAACCCACAAAAAGTTTAGGAGCCAGAATACAGCACATAAATTGTATTCATAGCCAGCATCTAGCACAAAATATTTTGATTCATCAGACACCACAGGAGGAGTTGAAAGGCCTTTGGCTGGAACCTCCACCTGCCAGTAATTCACCCAATGATGAGCTCCAGTGAAAGAGAGGAGGAACCTGCTGTATGTTCTTTAGACCTTTAGAAAGCATGGAGTTGTTTCTTTGGCCATGTACACGCAAATCTGCCGGAAAGGTGATACTGCAGAGGTCAGAGGAATGGGGACTGTTAAAAATGCATGCCAGGGACTTCCCTGGTGGTCCAGAGATTAGGGCTCCGAGATTCCACGTTAATGGGCTCAGGTTCAATCCCTGGTTGGGAAAATAAGATTCTGCATGCCATGTTGTTGCTGTTGTCACTTCAGTTGTATCTGACTCTTTGTGAACCCCTAGACGGCAGCCCACCAGGCTCCCCCATCCCTGGGATTCTCCAGGCAAGAACACTGGAGTGGGTTGCCATTTCCTTCTCCAATGCATGAAAGTGAAAATTGAAAGTGAAGTCGCTCAGTCGTGTCCAACTCTTAGTGACCCCATGGACTGCAGCCTACCAGGCTCCTCTGTCCATGGGGTTTCCCAGGCAAGAGTACTGGAGTGGGGTGCCATTGCCTTCTCCTGATGCATGCCATGAGGTGTGGCAAAAAAATTAAACAAACAACACACACTTTTTTGTTTGTGCCTGTGTATGTTCATTCACCAGTGCTCCCACTGCAGAACTGGAAAATTCTACAGTGTCATCAGCATGCCTTTGGTGTTGAAAAGCAACAAGGGCAAGATTGTTGCCAAGAGAATCAATGTACATACTGAGCCTATTAAGAACTCCCAGACCTGAGACAGCTTCCCAAAACACATGAAGGAAAATGATCAGAAAAAGAAGAAAGCTAAAAACAAAGTCACCTCGTTCACCTGAAGCCCATGCTACTCCACCCAGGAAGCCCACTTCATGAGAACCAGTGGAAAGGAGGCTGAGCTGCTAGAACCCATTTCCTGAGAATTTAGGAGAAAAATGATCCTAGGTTAAGAAGTGAAGTCACAAAGCATAGCCATGAGAATTTATAGGCTGGAAAATATTTAAGTTAACAACCTTCAGCTTTAGAAAAATTTCTCAATGGTGAGCCTCTAAAACATCAATTTTGAATCTGTGTAGCTTTCTGGCAAATTCCCCAGGACATATCAGCTGAAGAATGTATAACATCATCGAACAAAAATCCAATTAAAGTCCTGAAGACTATGCCAGAAAGGAGGACACACCATTAAGAAAAGTATTGGCAACTGAGAGTCTTACTCTCCACTTCCAAGAATAATGATTAAAATGCCTTCAGATGATTGTGCTTCTGCAGAAAACTATGAAACTGGACATCATACAAAGAGCAACTACCTGGAGGTGCCAGAGAGGAAAAGAAAGCAAATGACCTCCAGTGAAGAATGCAAGCTTGCTTGAAGAAGGCACAATGGAACCACACCAGCAAGTCTCATCTGCCCAGATTTTAGCCTGAGGCTAAGAAAAGCCTGTGGTGCACCCTAGTGGGGGCAGGGAGTAGGGGGTGTCAAAGAGGAGTCAAGGGAATATTAGAAAATATGTTGATAGTATATCATATAAATGATAATGAAAATATGCATATCAAAATTTGTGAGATGGCAAAAATAAGGTGAACAGGGAAATTTATTTTTTAATTTTAATTTTAAAATATTTATTTGGCTGTGTTGAGTCTTAGTTGTGGCCCTCGGGCTCCGTAGTTGCAGTGAGTGGACTTAGCTGCTCTGAGGCGTGTAGGATCTGGGGCTTCCCAGGTGGCTCAGTGGTAAAGAATCTGCCTGCCAATGCAGGAGACACAGGTTCGATCCATGGGTCAGGAAGATCCACTGGAGGAGGAAATGGCAACCCACTCCAGTATTCTTGCCTGGAAAATTCCATAGACAGAGGAGCCTGGTGGACCCCCATCCATGGGGTTGCAAAGAGTCGGACACGACTGAGAACACACACATGTGGGATCTTAGATCCCCAATCAGTGATCGAACCTGAGTCCCCTGCATTGAAAGGTGGACTCTTAACCACTCAACTATATGGTAAGTCCCATGGGGAAATCTGGAATTTTAAATACCTATGAGGGAAAAGAAAAGTCTAAAACTCAATGATGTAAGCTTCTACTTTGAGACACTACAAAAAGAAGAATAAATCATACCCAAAGCAAAGTTAAAAGGTTTTGGAGACTAAAATTGTGAGCTGTTATCCATGGGCAATGAGTGGCTAGCAGCATACCAGCATTCTCATCCAGGACAAGAAGAACAGCCAGGCAGAACAAGGAATTATTTAATTTATAAATATGTATTAAATTATAAATTATTAATGATAAATTATTATTTCCATAGGCAGCAGGAAATTTCTGAGGTGACTAGAACTAAAGGGGACAAGATTCTTGCATTAGTTTTCTGTTGCTGCTGTACCAAGCAACCACAGGCTGGGTGGTTTAAGACACATTTATTATCCTGCAGTTACACAGAAGTCTGAAAAGCGTCTCACTGGGTTATAAAACAGATGTTGGCGGGGCTGTGTTCCTTTTGGGACGCTCTAGGGGAGAAGCCATTTTCTGGCCTTTTTTATCTCCTCAAAACTGTTCCCTTTCTTGAGCTCATGGTTCTCTTCCTTCATCTTCTTTTTTTTTTTTTTAAACAAAAGCACAACAGGACAAATCCACACTTTTATTTATTTTCAAGAAGTTTAAATCCTCGAAGGGTACAGCATCACACAGATTCTGTGTCCAATGGCCTTAGCAGGAAGGTTACTTCAGAATTTGGCACGAACCATGGCACTGTTTCCGTGAGCTTGAGTTATCTTTCCTCAGATTACTCTGGGTTTGTTAGGTTTTCCACCAGGAGTTACTGTGTTGTTCTTTGCTTTGTACACATAAGCACATCTCTTGCCTAGATAGAATTCAGTCTCATCTCAAGCATATATACCTTCAGTTTTTAGGAAAGCAGTGTGTTCCCTTTGGTTCTGTAAACCCGGTTTATAGCCAGCAAAAATGGCCTTGAACTATAGCCTTCCAGACATATTTGTCGTTTTAGAAGTCCCGTTCCCAACAGGCCCCACTTATTTGCCCCCAATGTTCAGCTGCAGGAACTCCACACACCTCCACAGGGTCCTCTTCCTTCATCTTTAAAGCCAGCAAAGCAGCATCTCTCTGACCCCAGCCAGGAAAGGGTCTCTACTTGTAAGGACTCAAGATTAGAATGGACCATCAGAGAATGCAGGATAATCTATTTCCCTACATCAAGGTCTTTAATTCATTCACACCTGCACAGTAATACAGAGAAAAATGGAACACTTAAGCTTCTTCTCTGTCCATAAAGTCTCAAAGAAAGTGATGTAAATGTTTTCAGTAACAAATTATTCAAAACTCAATTTGTAAAAAACACTTAAGTTGCTATTACCATTGATGTAACCAAATACCTACTACCAGGCGATCTAATTATTTTTTGGCATTTGATTTAGTCACTTTTATAAGAGAGAAAATTCACAGACTTAGACAAAAAGGAAACAAATTTTAGTAAATATTTTATTTGGACATTTTAAAATTTAACTTTGTAACCACTTGTACTCATTATCACTGAAATCTAGCAGATTCCCCTTGAAATTTAGTTGCAGGTAGAGAGGTTGGAACTAGAATGTTCAAGACACTTTATTAACGTTTTGGAAAAAAAATTCACAGCATCCCATGGATCTCCAGGCGTGCTCCCGAAACCCACCTTGTCCACAACCCTCCTCCTCCTTTTCCTCAATGCCTCCTTCCATGCTGGAACTGTGGAGTACTCTAATGCCATATTTTCCTTCCTCTTTTCACTTGATCTCTCACATGTATATGTCTGGGAAGAACTTAACTGCGATGGAAAGTTCAGGGTCGTTTTGTAGAAATTCTTTTTTTTTTTTTTTGGTTTATCCATCTGCCTCCAAGCATCCCTAGAGAGTCATGTCCTCCAGTCCAGAAAAAGCCCACAGAAGTCGATTTAATGGAAATAGTTGTCCCTCTGTCATTTTGTGTGAAGTTCTAGTCAAAGCCAGAGCCAGGGCTGAGTTGACTCCAGGTAGTAAATTAGAGAAGGTGTAGTTTGCGTTGTGCCAGCGGCGAACTTAGCCTTGGTTTGGTAGTTAAAGAAACTACCATTCACAACAGGCAGTCGTTCACATCGGGCTCCCCTGTGGCTCAGAGAGTAAAGGATCTGCCTGCAATGTGGGAAACCTGGGTTCGATCCCTGGGTCGGAAGATCTGGAGAAGGGAATGGCAACCCACTCCAGTATTCTTACCTGGAGCATTCCATGGACAAGGAGGCTGGCGGGCTACACCTCATGGGGTCACAAAAAGTCATTCACATAAGTTCTGTGAGTTGAATTTGGAAGTGAGGGAGTGGCGAGGGAGGGAAGGGGACTCTCGGAGGTGGTCAGTGTTTCCTTGGCTTGAACCTGAGCGCCACGCTGTTGATGCAGAACCTCTGCCCAGCAGGCCCAGGTCCATCGGGGAACACATGGCCGAGGTGAGCTTCACACTGCAAGGAGAGCAGCCTCTGTCATCTCCTACCAGGGACAAGGCTCTTTAAGTAAAAGCCAGACAGATGAACCCCACATGGCGGGCCCACTCGCATCTTTGACCTCAGTGTTGGGGGAAAGTCTATTGTATCAGAATTTGATTCAGGATGTAGAGCATATGGGGTGGTAAATAGCTCTCTACTTATCAGTGAGAATGTGAGCAAGTGATTTAACTTAGGCCTTGATTTACTCATCTATGAAATGGGGATGATAATTATACCTATGTAACAGAGCTGTTATTATGATTCATTGATACAATCCATTGGGACTTCCCTGGTCCCAATGCAGCGGGCCTGGATTCGATCCCTGGTCAGGGAACTAGATCCCACATGCCAAAACTAAGACCCAGGGCGGCCAAATAGATAAATATTAAAAAAAAAAAAAAAAGCAGTAGCACAGTTCCTGAGTGAGTGAATCTTGTAGCCAGTATATTATTATTGTTTTTTTCACTGAAGACAAGACTAAGCTACATTTATCTGCTTACAAAACCAGAACGTTTGAGCACCCAAAGATATCAAGTTGAATCTGCTGTCTGGATTTAAGCCACTTTCTCTGCCAGGCTCCCGGGAGAAACAAGCCCCGATGTCACCTTTAGCACCGCTCTGCTCTGCTTGCAGGCGACACGCTGCAGAGCGGGAAGGGGGCAGAGAGATGCCTGCCACCCTGGACCTTCCTGCCGCTCCCCTGCACAACAGAATGTGAAGGGCCAGCTCTTTCTTTTAGACCCTCGCTCACTCCCATCTCTGCAAGGCTAGAACCAGGCAAGGCTCCTTCTCTGGTCTGCAGTGCCGGGAGTGATGGGAGAGAGGAACCGGCAGCAGCTCAGGAGAAACCCAGAGTGCTTCTGTGATAAAAGTGCTCCTGTCCGTAACACCAGGTGTGCAAGGACAAGTGAGCCGTCCGCTGCACTCAGGAGGCACAGGGGAAAACAAAACACATGAAACAAAGACGCCCACCTGCTTACAGACCACCTCTGTGCGAGCCAGTCCCAGTGAGGTGTCCGCACGTCTCAGGATCCCCGTGTTACTCTCATCAGAGCCAGACGTCCCGTGAGCCTCAGAGAACGAAGGCCATCCCGTGCCGGAGCAGAACTTCTTCTCAGAGCTGTGTTAGAAATCACGACACCTACAGCTGTGCAAAGCGCTATGAGCAAAGAGCACTGTGTGCCCCAACCCACGTCTCTACAGAGCACAAACCGATTCCCTTCTTCTCTGCCAGATCTCAAGGCCAGTTCTCTGAACCACAGGGGTCTGCCCAATGCACCTCCACCATTCAAGATGCTGTCTCATCACGTCAAAGATTTCTTGTTCCTTTGATGTTGAAGGCATCCCTCTCAAGCTTCGACAAGGACCAAAAACAAGAGGAGCTTTGTGAACTGCTCCACGTTAGGAAACAGATTAAATGCCCTTGTTCGAAACGCAGGGAAGGGGGAAATCGAAATGAAATGAGTGGTCAAAGGGTTTAGCATATCATGGGTTCAGCGAATTAGAGAAATGTGAGAACTGATGAAACAGCCGTGCTCAGCCACAGGAACTTTTGGTTATCTGAACACAGAGCCTGACTGCCTTTGGGGGTTCAAGAGTTGCCTCTGCCACTTCTTAGCTGTGTGAAATTGAACGGGCTGCTTACCCTGTCCAAGTCACAGTTTTCTTACCTGTAACATGGGGACAATAACATCTACATTATAGAGATGCTCTGAGGGCTTAGGGAGCTATGCAGAGGAGCACGTAGTGATTAATAAGCCTGGGCACCCAGACTCATCACTGCAGTGCAGTGACCTTCCCGGGAAAGCCCCACAGGAACGAATGATGCTGGAGGTAGGGGGTGGGGAGGACAGAGGCGCCAACAAAAGGAGGAGGAGGGCAACAAGCAAATCTACTCATCAGAGACCCACTCTCTAAGTACTTTGTTAGGTGAACTCATTTTCTTTCTTTTTAAAAAAAATTTTTGGCCACACTTTGCAGCATGTGGGATCCTAGTTTCCCTAACTAGGGATTGAACCTGCATCCCCTGAATTGGAAGTACTGAGTCTCAACCACTGGACTGCCAGCGAAGTCCCCAAAGATGAACTCCTTTACATCATGCTAGAAAAACAAATTTCAGAAATTTAAATGGCAGGGAAATGGCTCTCTCTATCTGAGGGAGAGACAAGAAATGAATTGTAAATTCTGCAAAAAAACAAAAACAAAAACCTGAGTGAAAAGAGGGGCAAAGTGGCAAATAATCAAACCCCTAGACTATGAGCACAGAAGGAAGCTCAGTTTAGAGCACAAACCCAGCAGAAAGAGTCTAGGCTAAGTCAGTGACTCAAACACCGGTGGGTCTTGGAACCCATCTGTTACTAAAAAATTATCGAGAATCTCTGAGAGTTTGATTTACATGAGTTGTGCCTATCAGCACTTAACAAATTAGAAATTATGAGTGAGAGTTTTAAAGACATTTATACATTGAAATATTTTTTAAAATAATAAATTCATTATAGGCTAACACAACCTATTGTTACAACAAATTGTTACAACCTATTGTTACAACAAACTGAAACATTTAGTGAGATGAGTTACACTGTTTTATAACTTTGCAAATCTCTTTTTTAAAAATTAATTTATTGGTGTATAGTTGTTTTACAGCGTCGTGTTAGTTTCTACAGCAAAATGAATTGGCCATACATATACAAACGTTCTTTCTTTTTTTGGATTTCCTTCCCATGTAGGTCACCACAGAGCACTGAATAAAGTTCCCTGTGCTATACAGTAGGTTCTCACTAGGTATCTGTTTTACACATCGTATCAATAGCGTATATATGTCAACCCCAATCTCCCAATTCATCCCACCCCCTCTTTCCCCCTTGGTATCCGTATGTTTGATCTGTGTCTGTCTCTATTTTCTACTTTTTGCAAATCTCTTTAATGTCTAGCCTTAAAAAAATGACAACTGCATCTCCAGACGTGCTCATGCATTCAATCTGCTGCAACACTGTTCTGACTGAAGTGCAGGAAGAGGATGTAGTCTCTTGGACGTGTGGGTGTGTGCTAAGTTGCTTCAGTTTTGTCCAACTCTGTGCCACCCTATGGACTGTAGCCCGCCAGGTCTCTCTGTCCATGGGAGTCTCCAGGCATGAGAACTAGAGTGGGTTGTCATGCCCTTCTCCAGGAGATCTTCCCAACACAGAGATCGAACCCAGGTCTCCTGCGTTGCCAGCAGATTCTTTACCGTCTGAGCCACGAGGAAGCCCCGGTCTCCTGGATACACAGTTAGAAAAGAAAGCACCTCGAAGAGCCCTGGCAAGATCCTGGGAACTCGGGTACAGCTCTGAGGTTGACTTCTGAGAGCCTGGGGTGTGAATCCGGGCTCTGGGGTGTCTGTGCGGCCTTGGCAGGTTATTCAACCTCGTAAAGTCTCTGTTCCCTCATCCACAGAATAGTAACAGCACTGTTACCTCACAGGGTTGCTGAGGATTGACTGAGATGCTTTCTTCATTTAGTGTTTTTACCATCGTGTTGGACACATGGTACCAAGTTAGTGGTTATAATTTTAAAAATATCATTATTATTGGTAGTAACAGGTATCCATGAAATTTGTGCAGCTGTGGGTCCAATTAGAAGTGTCTGTACATTCAGACTGGGGCTTCCTAGGTGGCTCAGTGGAAAAGAATCTGCCTGCCAATGCAGGAGGTGTGGGTTCGAGCCCTGGGTCGGGAAGATCCCCTGGAGAAGGAAACGGCAACCCACTCCAGTATTCTTGCCTGGAAAATCCTATGGACAGAGAAGCCTGGCGGGCTATAGTCCACAGGGTTGCAAAGAGTTGGATACAACTGAGCATGTGTGCACACACGTACATTCAGACTGGATTCTCTGCAACCCCTTTTCTTTTCCGAGGGTTCAAAAATATACATCTGAGCCACTTTGGTCCAGGGAAAAACATTTTAAATATCCTTTAATCATAGCTTTTTCATCCTCAACATTATATATAAACTAGTGATCATTAAAACAAATCTGATGGAGAATTATGAATATAATATTTTTTTAATGAATGAATCTAAGACTAATAAAAAGTCATTTAAAACATTTTATGGGAAACAATAAACTTTTATTGATGCAATTAACAGGATCTGGAGATTTTACCAGGTAATATGAGAGGCCCATCATATATCCTTTAAGAGGGCAAACTTAAATATTAAGGGCAATTAGAAATTGCAATATATATATTTAAATGATTAGCAGATTGTAAGACCCGCCCTTGAGAAACTAAAACTATTCTGGACCATCTTTACTCTTAAAGGGAGTAAAGATATATATCATGTATACTCTTTAAGGGATTCCTTTTATTTAGTTTTATTATATGTTTATTTGCTTTGTTTTTGTCATTGCTTCTAGAAACTCCATGGCCCCCAAACCAGCAGCAGAGGCACTTGGTAGTAAGTGACAATTCTCATGGTAGAAGAATTCCCATTCATTTCAAGGAACAGGAGCACAGAAAAGGTTAACAATATTACCTAGTTCCTACAACATGTGGGATGCCAGGATATTCTGTGAAAATGGAACTAACCTCAGGCTCTCAGATTCCTTCTATTCTAAAAAGATTTATGACTGTGAAACATGTGATCTCACAGTAGATTTTAATAAACACATCCAGAATTGGAGAGGAGGAAGGAAGGGGAATAGAGGAAGGGGTCAAAGTCACATAATTCCAAGGTTAATGAAGTGACAGTCTGGAGTCCAGTGCTCTTGACCTGGAAACCCTGGATCAAATGACTCTGAGTTGGAGAGTCAGCAGCTCCCCTGAACCGTACTGGTTCAGCTTGAAGGGAAGTCTGCAGGCAGCAAGGAGCCCAGTGGCCAAGTGGCTGTGATACCTCATCCACTTGATTTCTTAACTGTTTAGTTTTGATTGACTTTTCACCTCCTTTCGACTGTGTGCGAGTATTTGAAAGGATGTTCATTTCTTCTGTACCCCTGCTCTCTATTATTGAGGCTGGAGACTGGGGACAGGAAGAGAGGGAAAACGAGAGGCCCAACAGGAATCCTGACAGTTATCTCCCCTCTTGAATGGGAAGCACTGTCAGGATTATAGTCTTCATTTATAGATTCTCATTAATTACAAGAGATTTCTTAGGCGTTCCTCATCAAAAACACTTTCATGTATGAGGCCCTAAGGCGGCTCTGTCTGTAAGAATCTCATTGCTGACATGTATCCGGTGCTTGGCATGTGTCAGGCATTGCTCTGGTGCTTTCATGTGGATTAACACATAACTCAGTTACTCCTCCCAATAGCATTATGAGCTCAGTACTACTAACATGCTCATTTTACTGGTGGGGAAATCAAGGCACAGAGGGGTTAAGAAACTTGCCCAAGGTCACACAGCAATTAAGCCAGGATGTATATCTACAGACTTCACCACTCTACTACATTGTCTCTCTTATAAACAAACACATCTTTAAGAACACAGAAGATTCTAGAACATCAAAGATTCTTATGAATACATTCTTATTTTTCTCAGACTAAGCTTCAGGAGGAAAAAAATAAAACAAACTCCAAAGTCCTTAAGAAATGAAAATGGAAACTGCAACTAAAACTAAGTGATTAAAAAGAAACAAATAGGTTGGCAGATTGGCAGGTCAATAAACTGGCTACTTGTTGAAAGGGCTTTTGAAGACCTGGCTGGTTTTATTAGTCTTGGCTGCCTTGGGGATGGTCACTCAACTTCCTTAATTTGAACTAGCATTGTGCTAATACAGTGGCTACTGCTCATGGTGGTCTCTCACGTTTAAATTACCGTAAGTAAAATAAGATAAAAAATTCAATTTTTTAGTCGCATCAGCCACATTTCAGGTGTACAATAGCCACATGTGGTTAGTGGCCACCAAAGTGGATGGAGCAGATATAGAACTTTTCCATCACTGCAGCAAGTTCTACTGGACAGAGCTTTTTGCTCTGGTCTCTCCAGTCCCTCCCTGCCCCAACACTCTGATTCCCCAACAGAGCCTGCAAGGTGGGTAGGAAGATGGTGTCATCTTTACAGGTGCATAAACTAGAACACCAATGAAGTCAAAACAACAAAGACTAAAATGTAGGAACATGCTCTGGCAAGGATGACAGTCAGAAGCTAGAAAGAGAACCTCTGGCTGCTGACTGCACAGTCACAAAGCCATCTTTTATATGTTCACAACACAGTTGTTTGGCTAAAAGCAGGTTGGCCATCTCAAGGTCCCACCTCTCCCCCTTTAAACAGAACCAAAGGTCAAACAGTAACTAATGGTTCAGAAATATGCGTGCATTTTACCATTCCCAGCTTCCCCCAGGCCATCTTCTCAGTCTGACTGCCATCTTTGCCGTCTCTTCACCAGCCACTGACAGAGTGAATGAATCCCGGCGAAGGCCTGCCCTTCTGTGAGCATGAAGGAAAATCAATCCTAATCGTTGCTCATCCTTGCAGGCGGGGTTTGACCTTCCAAATTCAGCCCCCATTAGCAGCCAGCAGCCCAGGAAAGCCCAGTCTGCTGAAAGCCCAGAGCACATAATGAAGCACTGCCTAATGGAAGATTCACAGAGCTGGCTTGATTTATATTTTATTCTAAACCAATTTAGGGTTGATGCAAAAGAAATAAAAAACAACTTTGAACTTCTGAAAAATGGGACTTCAAAGATGTTTTCCTTTCCTCTTCATCGAATCTGCTTTTTTTAGACTGTTTCCTGCATGTCTAAACAAAAAAGCCTTTGTTGAGAGATTTCAGATCCTGATTGACTTAAAAGAGGCTTTGAAATCAAGGGACAATTAAATTTACTTTTAGCTACATAGAAGAGGCATGGTATTCACTACTGTCAAGCACTGTGGGGAATCTATCCTCATAAAATTCTGCATTTCCTAAATTAAATTATAAACCCATTTTTTCCCTGGGAGAGAGACAGTTTTAATCACATGGTCAAGCAAATACCATTATGGTTTAGATGTCTTTAAATACTTTCCCAGGGAAAAAACTAATAGCTTTATCTTAAGGTGCCCACCAAGGTTTTTTTGGGTTTGTTTTCTTGCAGATGCAGAAAGAATAATCAAGACAGGCAAGAATCTTCAGTGAACAGCCCTCCTTATGGTAACCAAGTCAATCAGGAAGGGCAGTGAAAAACATGGTATGCATTGGGTTGGTCAAAAAGTTTGTTAAGATCCTATGGAAAAACCCAAATGAATTTTCTGGCCAATCCAATATTTATCCAAGGCCCCAAAAGACAGAGCGGTATGAATTTTGAGGCTCACTTTCCTTTGGTACCTCTTGGTCTTTATCTCACCTGAAGAGTGGGCTGTCACAACAGACACAGTGATACATCCCTGGTTCCTTGTTATTCAGGTAGATCCCACTGAAAGGCTGAAAGTAAATGAGATATATTACTGTTCAGGTTTCTCATAACACCAGCGGACATGATACAGCAGATCTAAATCCAAGATTAAGTTCTCCAATGAAGGAATTTATGAAGGAATTTTTGTACTAATTTGACAAAGTGCAAGTATCACTGGAGAGAAAATTACAACGGGCCCAGTGAAGCAGTCTGCAGGCTTGTTTACGGCCGACATTTACTGTGCCAAATATTCAAATTATGACATTAATAATGCTTTGTATTTATATAGCATCTTTCATCCAAGAACATCAAAGCCTGTGGAAAAGCAAGAGAATGGGCCTCTGGATTGTGTTAGATCTCAGCCTCCATTTCAGAAGTTAATACAACAGGAATCTAGTCCACTGACTAAAACACTCTGAAATCTCCAATTAAAGACAGGATATAGATATATTAAAAAGCAAGAAGGCTCAGGCTTCCCTGGTAGCTCAGGCGGTAAAAAGAAAGGCTCAGTGAGATTGGGGTTGTGCCTTTAATATGCTTCACGTGGTGTTTAGGATACTTCATACTGAATAAATGCTAAATAATGAGCGAGATTCTCCCAGTGCCTAAGTTACTACTTAGATGAAATTACCACATTAATTGTGGCTTAGGGAGTTTGCAGGTTCTGAGAAGAACAGGAGACTTGAAGCAATGAGTGAGCCAAGACTACTATATATTTTTTAAAATGTTATTTGGTAAACTGATCTCATTGTTTGGAACAACAGCAACAACAAAAAGACCATTTTTGCCCAATTCCATCTTCTCTATCAAAGAAATTTCAAGAAAGAGAAACTGTTGCATGAGCCTCCTGTGAAAATCCACAAGCAGTGGCTGATGGCAGGCACTGTCCTATTCTTTGGAAGAGAAGCTGAATACGGGATGGGTCACTGAGTCCCAGAGCTGATTCAGGAAACAAGCGGCCTCTTCAGCCCTCTCTAGACAAATCCCCAGTCAAATGGTCACATTCCCTGTGGTAGGAGTAACAGCACATTTTCAGGGAGCAGCATAACAGTCAATTTCAAATTAACCTACTGAGCCCACCATCTGGGCACACTTGGATGTTTTCCCTCTTTAAAAATCCTAAACTTGGCTGCAGACATCAAACAGTGGTGAGCTGGTCTTTTTCTGGCTTGTCCCCTCGAAGGCTTGCACCTCACGCTGGCACAAAGGGGTATCTGGAATGAAGAGGAAGTTTCGCCTCCCTCCCACCTGGGCTGAAGAGACAAACACACCAAAGGGCTGCCCACATGTGAAGCTGATCTAGAAATGCCTACTTTTGGGGTCCGGACAGCCTGCTAATATTCACAGTATAATGTTTGATATTGCAGGGACAGTTGGACAGAGGAAGTGACAGGGAACTGGTACCACAACAAGTAAAAAAACAACAACAAAAAAATCAGACATAAAAGAATCCTTTGCTGACATATTTTATGAAATGACATTTCTCCTCTGCCTCCTTGACTGATTTCCTGCTGTCCACCCTCATCCTTTCTCCTTAATTTTATACAAGTCCTGCCATATAATTTAGGGCCACACTCAGCTTCTATTTCACTTGCTCATTCCAGTATTACTTGAAAACCAAGTGTGTATCCAGTGCTGGACTGGGTACTAAGGTTGCAGAGATGGAAAAACAAAACAGAACCAAACTAACCCATGCTTCCTGCACTAGGAATTTGCTACCAAGTCAGGAAGAGATGTGAGCTGGCAGTGGTCACACCATGTGACCATAGTTCTGATGGGGAGGTCAGCAGGGAGTGGGGGGTACCACTAGTCCCTTTATTATTAGGGAAGTTTTCATGAAACCTTTCTGGACCAGGTAATATTTGAGATGTCTGAGATCAGGGTTTTCTTTTAACCTCTTATCATCATTATTTTTCATTGCATGGCTGACTGGTGTTTATTACAGGAAAATGCCAAGACACTAAAGTGAGTTTTGAAGGATGAGGAGGAGTTAATCAGATAAAGGAGTTAATCAGATAAAGACATTTCAGACAGAGCAGCCTGGGCTGGGCTCACAGAACAGAGCAATGTGGAGAAGGAAGACGAGGTTGTTGGAAAGGCAGGGAGGGCCAGATCATAGCAGCGTTAATCAGACCATGCTTCTTGTTGTTCAGGCGCTCAGTCATGTCCGACTCTTTGCCACCCCATGGACTGCAGCACACCAGGCTGCTCTGTCCTTCACTATCTCCTGGAGTTTGCTCAAACTCATGTCCATTGAGTCAATGATGCTAAAGAGTTTAAGTGCCATCTTACTGAAAATGGAAAGCCATTGGAAACTTTTAAACTGGGTGCGCACACAATCAGAGCTGGTTTTTAGAAGGAGCACTCAAAGGACAGTCAAACAGCCACCAGTTCAGGCCTGGATTTAACTATGGCAAGAACAGTGGAAATAAAAAGATGAGGACGGATTTAAGAATTGTTTTGAAGAGAGAACTGAAATGAGTGACTGTAGAGGGAGGGGGTCAGAGTCAGAGGCAGAATGACTTTCAAGATACCCCCATCCCTCGGTTTTCAAAATCTATCCTATGGACTAAATGTTTGTGTTATTTAGTTGATAAGTCATGTCTGACTCTTCTGCAATGCCATGGACTGCAGTCCTCCAGGCTCCTCTGTCCATGGAATTTTCCAGGCAAGAATATTGGAGTGGGTTGTCATTTTCTCCTCCAGGGAATCTTCCTGACCCAGGGATTGAACCTGTGTCTCCTGCATTGCAGATGGATTCTTTACTGCTTTACCACGGGGAAGCCCCTAAATGTTTGAGTATCCCCCCCAAATTCATGTTTAAGCCCTAACCCCCAAGGTGATGGTATTGGACTTGGGGCCTTTGGGAGGTGATTAGTTCATAAGGGTGGAGCCCTCCAGAGTGGGATTAGTGCCCTGGGAAGAAGAGACATGGGAGGGATGACCTGTTTCTCCACCACATTGGGACACGGCAAGAAGGTGACCATCTGCAAACCAAGAAGAGAGTCCTTATCAAACCAAATTGTTTGGCACCTTGATCTTGGATTTCTCAGCCTCCAGAACTGTGAGCAACAAATGTCTGTTGTTTAAGCCTCCTCGTCTGTGACATTCTGCTAGAGAAGCCCAAACTGACTATGACTATGTGCGCACCAACGCCGCCTTTCCCTCCTCTGATCTTGTCAATACCACACACCTGTTGGAAATGGATGAGACACTTAAGTGACTTGCAGGTTATTTCACAGAGAACTATTTACAAAGACGGGGACAGGGCCAATGGATACCAGCAAGGGAAGGTGAAGCATCCCTAGGCTAGTGACCGAGAACACACTATGGGGCACAGAGTGGGCAGAACCCATGAGGCCGAAGTTGGAGGGGTGGGCTGCCTGTGGGGGTGGGGGGCGGGGAGGCTGCAAGCTGTGTGGGAGGAACGCAGCCCCAGGGGACCCTCGATGCATGTTTTTCTACTGTGTCCTCTGATTTGCTGGCATCTCCCAGGGGCCAAAGCAATCAGGAGTCAAGAGGGCAAGGGAGCTGCTTGGCCTTCGCAGAGGTTCAGAGCAGAGTGAAGCACGTGGATGGCAGATCTGGAGAGCAAACAGTAACCTGCACAAAACCTAGCTTCTACTGACATTTGACTTTAAAAATATATATTTATTTATTTGACTGCACTGGATCTTAGTTGTGGCACATGAGATCTTTAGTTGTGACATGTGAACTCAGTTGTGGCAATATGGGATCTAGTTCCCTGATCGAACCCAGGCCCCCTGCATTGGGTGTGTGGAGCCTTAGCCACTGGACCACTGGGGAAGTCCCTGATATTTGATTTTTTTAGTTACGGCTCAACTAGTCTGTGAACCCCCTTGTCATACCTGGCAGAGGGCTAGCAGGTTACTGCTGCCCAACAAAAAGCACATGCAACTGAATTCTAATTTTGAGTCACCAAATAGAAGGCTGAGGTGTTTCCCTTCTCTTTTCTTAGCCTCATGGAGCTTATGGAGGCTTATCGTTCTGCAGCATTCTAAAAAGTTACATGTGGAAATGAATCAAGTGAAAGGGGTTTATAACATTACTTAAAATAATGGATGATGCTCATTTTGTAAAATGGCCAAATGCAAAGTATATCACACCATCTGTTTGAGGATCCCATGTATTTATTCTCCTAAACATCTGGCAGCTTATCTCCAGGCTGCCATTTCCAACTCCAAGCCCTGTGTGGCTCTGTCCTTCAGAACAGGGCTGACTTACAGTGCTCTGGGAAGACACACAACTGCTCAGGGAATCACAGGTAGGTAGCTCTCTTGTGCTATCTAATGGTTAGTGTAAGTGTCTTTCCTGGGCTTACCTGGTAGCTCAGTGGTAAAGAATCCATCTGCCAATGCAGGGTATGTGGGTTCAAATCCTGCATCAGGAAGATCCCATGGAGGAGGAAGTGGCAACCTGCTCCAGTATTCTTGCCTGGAGAATCCCACGGACAGAGGAGCCTGGTAGGCTACAGTCCATGGGATTGCAAAGAGTCAGACACGACTGAGCACACACACACATAAGGAGTACCTACCTGCCCTATGCTGGGCTCTTTTCCAGGCACTGGAGACGCAGCCATCAACAACACAACTGACCAGCGAAACAACAACAATAGTCTCTTTCCAAGGGAAGCCTTTATTAAAATCCCATCCACAGGAAGTTTTCAGAAATATCAGTATTTCACCAGAATCTATGGAATCTTCTAATCCATCTAATGACTTTGGCATTGGCAGTGAAGTTGAAGGTGGGACCATGATTATATGGCTCCAGCACATGGACAGCTTACCTGAATTTTGCAGGGACTGCTAACTTCAAAGATATAAATATCCTACAACATTCAAAACCGCTGTGCTGTGGTCCACTCTAGGGGGTCGGCTTCACAAATGAAAATACCTACTGCTGCTGCTGCTAAGTCACTTTACTCGTGTCCGACTTTGTGCAACCCCATAGACGGCAGCCCACCAGGCTCTGCCGTCCCTGGGATTCTCCAGGCAAGAACACTGGAATGGGTTGCCATTTCCTTCTTCAATGCATGAAAGTGAAAAGTGAAAGTGAAGTCGCTCAGTTGTGTCTGACTCTTCGCGACCCCATGGACTGCAGCCTACCAGGCTCCTCTGTCCATGGGATTTTCCAGGCAAGAGTACTGGAGTGGGTTGCCATTGCCTTCTCTGGAAAATACCTACTAACCCGCCTCAATAGCTATTTTCCAGTGGTCATATTTGGGCTTAAGACAAATGGCTTGCTGTGAAACGCAGCACGGTAAAAATGGCACTATACCGAGTAACCATTGAGGGCTGCTTTCTCAGGAAAGTCAAGAAAGATGAGGTTATTGAAGACAGTTTCAGTAATACGTCCCCCTCTTGGCCTGCAGTCATTCAACTGTCCCAACGCTTGATTTTTTTGAGCACCCGCTATCTGCAGGGATATATCATATGCTAGGATGGCAGGTACTGAGCAGGGAAAACCCAGCTTGGGGCTGGGGAAAGGCTTCCCTTTGGGGGTTGAGATTGGGGCCAAGAGCTGAAAGGTGGGTTTGAATGAGTTGGAGTTGGGGGAGGACACAGGGTGAAAGGGCCTGAAGTGGGGAAAGCCCAGGGTCTTGGAGCTGAACAAGGAAAAGTAGCCAGATCTGAGGATGGGGGTGGGAGGCAGGGACCAGAGCTTTAGGGCCTTGTTAGCCACTTTTAAACTTTCTTCTTTTACTTTGAAAACAAGAATTTAGAGTAGGGGGTGATGTGGTCAGATCTGTTTTCAAAAGATCTCTTTGGAGGCAGGGAAGAGAATGGCAAGGTGAGGAGCAAGGACAGCTGTGAGGAGCACAGCTGAGGCAGCTGCTTTTGACCCAGGGATGGTGGGGCCTGGACCAGCCTACAGGGGAGAGCGGCGGAGAGAAGCAGGGTGATGAGGTCATTTAGGAGGCTGAGTGGGTGGACCGGCCACCAGAGGGCAGTGTGTCCAGAGAGAGGTTTCTGGCTTGCATAACTTGATGGATATTCATGGCCAGAGGGTAACAGTGGAGGGTGCCAGATTAGTAGATAAAATGATGAGTTGTTTTTTTTTAATTGGAGCCACCTTATAATATTGTGATGGTTTTACCATACATCAACATGAATCGCCCATAGGCATACATGTGTTCCCTCTCGCCTGAACCCCCTCCCACCTCCCTCATCCCTCCAGGCTGTCACAGAGCACTGGCTTTGGGTGCCCTGCTTCATACATCAAACTCCCACTGGCTATCTATTTTACAATGGTAAGGAGAAGGTGGGATGATCTGAGAGAACAGAAAGTAGTTAGGTTTTGTAGTGAGATCGATTCCAATTTGTCATGCACCACACCCAACACATCTACTCAGAAACTGTAGATGAGTGTAGCTTACCGGCTCCGTCCCTTTTTCTCTCGTGACATGGAACTGCTCTGGTGTCAGCTTCTTTTGCCACTCACTCTTGGAGAGAGCCGGCTGACGTTTTGTAAGAGACCCTGTATTGTTAAACAGGAATTTCAAAAAAAATGAAAACAGCAGTGAACACTGAGGTTAACTTCCTTGGATTTGTCTATGACAATTTAATTATTTCCCCAAAGAATTAGAGTCATGCCTTCACTATAGATATTTGTATTTTAATTGTTTCTTTGTATTTCATTGCATTGTTTAGAATCTCAAAATAACAACTCTATAAGAATGTATTTAATAGCAGTGGTTGACAACTGCAAATTATTAGATGGGTGCTATTGGCTTCAAATGATGTCTTTGATCAAGTTACAGATTTTTATATATTTCTACATTATTAAAACATATTTTGCTTTAAGAAAAAAAACCAGCAAGCCACAATAACCTTTTCTTGCTAAGCCTCTCTCCTGAAGTGCACCAGTTGCCAACAAAATACACCGTAACTTCCCCTCTGCTCCCACCATTTCCTCCTTCACAGAGACCAGAAAGCTCAGGTACAAAATGCTTTAATTGACTCATTAGTTTAGTAAGAGATGAGTAATAAGCAGAGAGCCAGTTTTCCAGTTGCACTGGGGCACAGAAGTTAAAGAGGTGACTGAAATATGAAATAAAGCAGAATAAATTCTCTTTGGTTTGCTAAGGGTAGAAATCAATCCCTCTTCCATTACTACGTTCAAAGGAGTATTTCCTGTCAGGATACAGGTGGGAGTAGCTGACAGACTGGAGAGAAAAGATTGTTGAGCCAGTGGGTTATTAAACCCTCTTCCTTGCTGGTTTATAAAGATATCTCTGATTTTATTAATCAAAGAAGGTCTCTATTAAAAATTCTTCTTGTGTGAAAAAAAGAAGACTCCTATAGCACACATTCCTGAAAGGGAAACTGAGACCTACCATAATCTATGATTGGGCTTCATGGTTTTTATCCACTTGTGTCTTCCTTTCTTCTGCTTCCTACAGTTTCTATGTTACTTTTATTCCAATGAGTATAAACAATGTAACTAGAATAATACTCTCTTTGGCCAAAGGGGGGGGGGCGGCAGAGGTGGGAAGTCTAACATCTATAATGTTCTAATCATCCAATGTTAAGAATATGAAAGGATCATATCATCTGCACACCTCAACTTACACAGAAGAAAACAGAGTAGTGATCGAAGGCTTTATTAGGAAGGTGGCATTTTGGCACAGAGTTGAAGGAAATAAACAAACACATCAGGTGAGTACCTTGAAGACCATTGCAGGCAAGAGAAGCAACAGGCTGGGTGCGTGGCATGTCCTATGAATAGCAAGGAGGCCCGAGTGACTAGGGAGGAGTCAGCAGGGAAGGATAGTGGAAATGAGAACAGACAAACAATGGGGGCCAGATCACTTAGGGCCTTGAAGACTATTATTTCAATCAATCAGTTAAGGCTGAGCTGGGTCTTCGGGGCTGCGCTGGGTTTTCTCTAATTGCGGTGAGTGGAGGCTACGTCTCATTATTGTGTGGGGGTTTCTCATTGCAGTTGCAGAGCTCGGGCTCTAGCTGCATGGGCTTCAGTACTTACAGCACATGGGCTCTGGAGTTGTGGTGCACGGGCTTAGCTGCTCTAAAGCACGTGGGATCTTCCCAGACCAGGGATCAAACCTGTGTCCCCTGAATTGGCAGGTGGATTCTTAATCACTGGCCCACCAGGGATGTTCAGGCCTTGAAGGCTTTTGTAAGAACACTGGCTTTTGCTCTCAGTGAGTTTGGAAGGCAGTGGAAGGTTAGCAGAGGCATGGAATGATCTAACATATTTTAAAAGAATTAGTGGCAGATGTTCCAAAAAAAAAAATGAAGCAGGGTAAAGGCTGAAGCAGGAGAACCATTACAGAGGCAGGCCTTTACCCTGCTTCATTTTTTTTTTTTTTTGGAACATTTCCAGGCCAGCTCTGAGAACTGTGGTAGTGTATGTCATGGCTGCAGTCTGATCATGTTTACTTCTTCCACCTGGTGGGGGTTTCAGTCTCTGTAATTACAGACAGCTCACAGGCTATGGCTCAGAATATTATCTGTATCCTTGGCTGAGAGGCAGAAACCTGGATTGGGGTGGCAGCAGTAGAGTGGCTTAGAAGTGATCAGTCGGTGGACATGGTCAGATGGTAGAGCCGGGGGATCTGCTGATGGGCCGGCTGTGGAGGTGAGAGAAAGCAAAGGGTCGAGGGTCACAAGCCAAAGCTTCTGGGCCCTGGAAGATGGGGAAGACTTCAGGAGGAGTAGGTTTGGAAACCTAATTTTGAATTTGTTAACTTTTAAAATGCCAATCAGGTATTCAAGTGCAGGTGTCAAGTAGGCAGTTGGCTATATGGATAAAGGGAGAGGTCTAAGGTGGAAATGTTAACTTTAGGATTCCTCAGCTTGAAGCTGTTTTTTTACCTTGGGGGCTGGAAGATCCTCAAGTCAGTGAGTGTAGACAAAACAGAAAGGCCTAAGGATTGTACTCTGAGGCTCTTCTCCATATACAGGTTGAAGATACATGGAGGCAAGCAGGGCGGTGGGAAGGAAACTGAGATGCAGTGTCCTAGTGAAATGGAACAGGACCCTATGGTCCTTCCCCAACATGTCTGCCTTTTGTCTGTGAAATAACTTTAGTCAAAGAATAAGTTTAATCATGAACTTCCCTGGTGGTCCAGTGGCTAAGACTCTGAGCTCCCAATGCAGGGAGCCTGGGTTCAATCCCTGGTTAGGGAACTAGATCCTGCCTGTCACAACTAAGATCCCAGAGTAACCAAATAAATAAGTATATTAAACAAATAATATATTTAATCAGTGAAGTGAGAAAATACAGAAACAAAAGAAAACAGTCAAATGGGACAAAATAATAATAATTTAGTCATTAAGCAAAGTCAAGGACTTTTAGTTCCTTCTCAAGGGATACAGATAATATTCGGAGCCATTACCTGTGAGCTGTCTTATACTGAAACCCCCACCAGGTGGAAGAAGTAAACATGATCAGACCGCAGCCTTCACATAACCTGCCAGTTCTCAGAGCCGGCCTGGAAATAGGAACAAACCTACCCTGGAACTGAAGATGAACCGTCCCAGAAACAATGAATGACACTGATGAGATCACCGCAGAAGCAATTTCAAGACTGTCAGAGCTGACTGTGCTGTTTCAGCATGTAGCCCCCTCCCATCACCGACAAAAGCTCTTGGGCACTCAGGGGGGTGGGGGAGTCAGCCTTCGGACAGGAGTCCTCTTCACCCCTGCCCCGCCAAGCCCAGGTTGCTGGCCTCTGAAATGAAGCAACCTTTCAACCATTCTCGCCTCTTTATTGGCTTTTGAGCAGCGAGCAGCGGGAGACCCTACTTTGAGTTAGACTTTTGGGCTCTCATCATGGGACCGCTGTGCTCTCGCAACACCTGGCTCGCGAGATTTCCCTGAGCAGTGCTGCGGCCATGATGAGGCGCCAGCGGGGCTGTGAGGAACTGCTGCTCTGGGCTTGCTGGCCCCAAGAGGGGGCTATGAGGGGACATCCCTAACAGCTGCCGAATCCGTTTTGTTTCGGGGATCCTCCCTGTTTCTCCGCTGCTCGGCCCTGGCTGTCAACGTACGCTTTTCTTCGGTGGAATGGAAACATGTGTCTGGATGAGCTGACGAGCTCCAAGACCCAGTAAGTCAGTCCACCGGGGTGCAGCCGGGCTAACTTCTCTTTGAGCACGAAGTACTATTTGGTTATCTCGCCAATTGGTTCTGACATGGGTATGATGTCCAGGAGCATTTGTGTTGGGGACTCTGTATTGGTTATTGTCTTGAAGGATTTGTGACAGTTCTGTCTTCTGGTGTGTGAGTGTATATTCCATTTGTGTGATTGGTATCTTTCTTGTCTTTTATAAAATGGGAGATTTGGTTCACTTTATTTGAAAAATTTTAGCTATGAGATTATGATTAAAGAAAAAGAAAGATAATTTTTTCAACAACATATGACAACAGTATCAGACTCCAAGAAAAAAATGGGTTAAGATAAAACTCTTCTGAAATTCCAGAACTGGTTCTTTTTGCATATGCAGTTATGAAATATGTCTGTAAGTCTGCCTTATGTAAGTGTTGGTTTAACAGTTCGATTACTTTTTTGGGTTTTTTTTTTTAAGGCTTTAAACGGTTAAAAATTATAATATGTAATTAAAGTTACTGAAAATGACGAGGGAGCATTTCAGTGTGTAAAGCAAGTAGGATGCGTGTTGTTGGTGAGAGAAGGTATAAAGAATGGAGGTATTTTTTGTTGAGGAAAAATGATGATAATAATTTTGTCTTGGAGCTAGTTGTGATCTTGGAGGGGAGAGCAGTGAGTGGTTCTGAAGAAAAAACTTAGTTTCCTGCCCAGGAATTGAACCTGGGTAACCTGGATGAAAGCCAGGAATCCTAGCCAGCAGACCACCAGGGGCAAGAGGTTAGAAGCAAAGTGGTCCTGCCTCTTTCCCTCATTTGAAAGCAAGAATGTTTCAAGGAGGCAGAAACTGTAAAAACAGGTACAAAGTTTATCATTAGAGTACACAGCACAGTAAGTGGGAGGGCATACAGATAAATCATTTATTTAAGACAGAAGAAGAAATACACAGCTGGAGAGAAGGGGCATGGGTACCCTCTCTAAGGAGGAGGAGAGCATAAGAAGTAAGGCAGAAATACACACCCAGAGAGGAGTGTGGGTGTCCTGAATGAGAAGCGCAGTAAAAAGGTGATTTAAATCCCTTAATTGGACAGTCCTTCCCCATATTTTTGGAGAAGGAAATGGCAACCCACTCTAGTATTCTTGCCTGGAAAATCCCATGGACTGAGGATCCTGGTGGGCTACAGTCCATGGGGTCACAAAGAGGCGGACACGACTGAGCCACTTCACTTCCCCATCTTTGTTTACTTGGCCAATTATTACTTTTTTTCACAACTGACTGGTCCTTGTACTCTCCCCATGATAAGTGCGCAACTTTTTGCTAAGATGGATCCCATCGCAGAGGCCTGGGGGTGATGTCCATGTTTATTATAGACCCCCAAGAAGCCTTCCTGCGCCTGTATAGACAGGGAAGTTTTCTTTGACCTCAGGAGTTGACACCTTGCCTCTAAGCCGAGCTCAGTTTTTGCCACTAGCCTTGTCACTGGAGGGTCTGGGTGAGAAAAAAGCTTGAATTTTATTCCATTTGACAAATACCAGCTGTTCAGCCCAGGGGCCTATGTATCTCCTGCCTCAGTTGTTTCCAGATGGGGACAACTCATATGGATACAAAAAGTGATAAAAGGTTTATGAAAAAAGGGAGCTTTGAGAAGAGTGCTATACTTGTCAGGAGTGATTAAGATTAGACTGGATTTAATTAGGTAAATATACTTTGTTATTAATAGTAAGCTGGTATAAAAGTGGAATTTGGTTTTCTTTCTCCTTGTTAAGAGATCAAAACTTTCCTGGAATATTGAGGTGCTTTTGACAACAGATTGTAAGTTTCTTTCTCTAACTAACTTTGAGTATCCCAAAGGGCCTATAGGCATCTCAGAAGAAATGTTAAAGTAACTAGGATTATTTAGTATGTTAAATTATATGGAAAACATTTGATTAACTTTCAGGTTATAATGCTGAACTGGGTAAGAAATTTAAAGAATTCTAATGGAAAGCTATTGTTTTGCTTCAAAGCATATTTTTGACCCCAACGTTTGGAATGGAAGTTATCACAGAGTATAATTACTTATGATGTGTACCACTGCTGGTTTTAAGCTTACTGCTAAAAGTATGTACAATGCTTGTGTGACAACTGTATATAAGTGATAAAATGTATAGACTATAAAATGTCTTCCTGTCAGCATATCTCTGTACTTGTTGTCTGATTAGTTTTCCCTCAAGGTGGATAATTAAGTCCATAGCATAGGGTTAAATATAGCTACACTTTTATCCTTTCCATTCATTTATGTAATTATAACTAATGCTTATTGTATACCTACTAAGAACCAATATTGTGATAAAACATGTTTAGTTTTTTCATTTATTCTGTGTAATACCCTACTATTATCATTATCCTTATTTTATAAAGAAAAAAACAGGCTTATGCATACCAAGTTCAAGACATGCTCAAAAACACACAGCCAGTGGGTGTGGCAGTCAACACTGAAAGCCCTTAACCACAAAACTATTACCTGCCTATCATTCTCAATGGTTGCCTACTAGTTTGTTGAATTGAACTTTCATGGTTTACTTAAGCATTCCTTAACTGATAGACATTTGGGTTATAGCCAGTTTCTCCTTAAGAGTAGTGCTGTTAAAAGCATCTCTGTACATATAACTTTGTTGTTCTTTTGAATTATTTCCTTAGAATAAATTCCCAAGAGTGGGTGTCTGATAAGTGAGCAGTTCCTGTTAAGTACTGGTGTCTGGCCAAATTTTAATGTTGCTGAAGAACCTCAGATTCCAGGGCAATTTATTAGGCTGTTTCCGACAGCAATAAGTACAAACATAAAGGGCAAAGGCTCCAGCCCAGAACTGTGATGCCTGAACCACCACCTGTGGTTCTCAGGAAATCTACACGTAGCACTGAGCAGGCAAAGAACAAATAGGAGATTGGCTGACTAGAGACACCAGGAGGGGTCTTAAGTACGTGACCCCAAGTCATATTTGATCAGCTCCCATTGCACCCTGCCAGGGCTTTTATTTATTTAACACTACATTTTGAAATTTTCAGGGGATAAAAAGAATTCCGAGTGACTGGGTACATTGATAGCACAGATATTTATGTTTAAATATCTTCAATGGACACATAACAAATGGATTCCAAGATGGGCTAGCTGGGGCAGTTGCCCAGAAAGGCAATCAACTCATGGCACCGTGTCCCCCAAACTGGACATGAAATACAGGGCCAGCTGACCCAAGATCCCACTAGAGTCCCCTTTAGTGACTCTGTACTAAAGGATGACATGTCAGCGTGCCCCAGTCCCACAGAGCAGCCAAAGCCATGTCGTAGAAGAAACACACACTTTTCCCCGGTTTGTGTCACAGCCACTGACTAACGATGGTTATCAGGTTAGAGGGTGGAAGGGATCACGAGTCCCCACGTTCCTCCTGGGTCCTGGAAACACAGAAATAGAGGTCAGGGAGCAGATCCACAGGCATGCAAAGTTAGAACTGCCTGCTTCTGAGGCGCGGAAAGCAGCAGGCATAACTGGACGAGGGGGACAGTGTAACTAACAGAGCAGGGGTGGCTGCAGCAGAGAGCGCTCTGGGCGGGCTGCTGACCCAACACCGCCGTCTTTCACCTGGAAGCCCGGCTTCAGAGTACATTTTGTACAAAAAAAACAAAACAAAACAAGTATGTGTGCACGTGGGAGTAGAGGACCTATACTTTCCCACAAACCCTCATACGGGTCAGTGACTCCCCCGCCCACGCTCCTGCAAGTTTACAGCCCGCGGTCCTTAGATGGCAGAAGGTGGGCAGGCGGGAGCGCCCCGACGGAGCTTCCCGAGAACGGATGAGTCAGCTCCAGGACCAGCCGGCGGGGGCCCCCCGAGACCCGGCAAGCGAACAAAAATCGAAAGCCTGGAGGTGGGGGCGGGGCCTGCGAGGCCTACCTGCTTGCGGGGATCCAGCACCTGCGCGGAGGCCGCCGCAGCCCGCTCGGCCCCGCGCAGCCCACCCAGGTGCCTCGCGGAGGGGAAGGCCCCGCAGAGCTCGCAGGAGGCCCGCCATGACGCTGAGCGCAGCCGGGCGGAGCCCACGCCGCGGGCCCGCCCACTCGCGTAGAGCCCGACCCCGTCTTCGAGACTCGGCTCCGCCTCTTTTCCCCTTCCGCTCCTGTCGGCACTACAGCCACCACGGCGCTCCGCCCTTCTTTGCCTTCCCGAGCTCCTGCCCCCCTACTCCTCCCCTTCCTGCATCCCTCCTCTTAATCTGTTTCTGCTCCTGTGCCTACCTGCCTCCCCTTGGCCTTCTTTGGTACCCTCTGCTCACGTAACCCTCCTGCCTCCCTGCGTGCCTCCCCCAAACCCGTCCCTGCCTCTAACCTTGCGGCTCCTCCTCTGGTCCCACCTAGCCCCATGCATTCCCACTCTGCTCCCCACCCCCAGCCCACTAATCTGTTTTAGTTGATTTGCATTTTCTAGAATTGCTTATAAATGGAACCTTTTTTTTTTATTATTATTATTTTGTCTGGTTTCTTTCATGCAGAATAAATGTCTTGACACTCCTTCCAGTTTTTGCATGTAGCAACCATTCGTTCTTTGTTAGTGCTGAGTACTATTCCATTTGTAGCCGTACCACATGTATTTATCTAGTCACTTGTTGATAGGTATGTATACAGTTACCAATTTTTCCTTATTAGAGATAACGCTGCTGGGAACATTCTGTACAAATCTTTTGTGTTACCGACCACAGTTCTTGGACTAGAAATTGATAAAGAGGCCAGATAAGAAATCCAGACAAGGCTTAACTGGGACTTGTGCTGCAACAGGAGAGAGTGAAAACAAGTAACAGGTGCCCTTGATCCCTCCCTGAGCAGGGGTGAGCTGGTTCCTTATTGAAGTGAGGGTAGGGGTGGATCTAGGGGTCATGCTGGAGGGGTTCTTTGGGTGGTTTGCCCACCCTCTTGATGGTGCTGTGTGCAGGGTGTGTGCGCAGTACCGCTGGTTCCTTATTGAAGTGAGGGTAGGGGTGGATCTAGGGGTCATGCTGGAGGGGTTCTTTGGGTGGTTTGCCCACCCTCTTGATGGTGCTGTGTGCAGGGTGTGTGCGCAGTACCCTGTTTTTGCTCCTGGCTCCTCAGCAATGGCAGTTGTGTTTTTGGTCTTTTTGTACCTTGTTGTTCATAATTTGTCCCAATTGCATGCACTTATTTTTTAGTCCCTTATAGTTTCTTTGTATTTTGTTGCTGGAGGAGACATTTGTCCAGGTGCAAGCACTATAGCGACACGTTCTGGGTCCCAGGTCCCAGCCTGTCTCATTTGTATGAACATGTGATTTCCTTTCTCTTGGGTAAATAACTGGGAATGGAATGACTAGGTCATAAGATAAGTGTAACTTTTTAAAACTACCAAAATGTTTTCCAAAATGGTTGTTTCACCTTCCATTCTAGGGAGGGCCACCAGTCTTACAGACTCCACCAAGGCTCCTGTCTTCCAGAAACACCCTCACAGATACACCCAAATTATATTTAACCTGTTGTCTGAAAATCTGCAGTTCCAAGTTGGAAAAATAAATAGGAAAACAATAAGGGGAGTGATGTAATAATCTACAAAGATTTACTGTTATGAATGTAAGGAAAATTAATATTATCTATGTGGACAATACTCAGCTCTGATTGGACAGATGGCTAAAGGATATGAACAGATGGTTTGCACAGGAGAAAATACAAATTGTGAACAAACACTTGGGAAAATGTTTAGCTTCCCTAATAATTAAAGAGTTGCAAATTGGAAGAGCCCAATACACTACTTCCTATATATTAAATAATAGATTTTTCTAAAAAAACAAAAATGAACAGCACTTTGCAAACTCAAGTATACCCATGCATTGCCTCTGTTTAGAGGCATAATTTTTCTGGAAAGAAATCGACAACATATACCAAGCATTATAGAATTCATCATATCCTTCCATGTGGCAAATCTGCTCTGGGGAGCAAATCCCAAGGAAAGAATTCAGTAAGGGGAAACACCTGATTTTTGCATAGATGTTTATATTTATGCTTTTCATAAAGTGAGGTCACTCAGTCTTGTCCAACTCTTTGCAACCCCATGGACTGTAGCCTGCCAGGCTCCTCCATCCATGGGATTTTCCAGGCAAGAATGCTGGAGTGAGTTGCCATTTCCTTCTCCAAGGGATCTTCCTGACCCAGGGATTGAACCTGTTTTCCCACATTGCAGGCAGATTCTTTACTGTCTGAGCCACCAGGGAAGCCCTACAAGAACTTAAAAAAAAAAAAAGTTCAAAAGCATCAATTCTTTGGCGCTCAGCCTTCTTTATGGTCCAACTGCCACATCCATACATGACTACTGGAAAAATCATAGCTGTGACTATACGGACCTTTGCAGGCAAAGTGATGTCTTTGCTTTTTAATATGCTAAGTTTGTCATGGCCTTCCTTCCAAGGAATGTGTTCTAAAATCTGTCAGTATGCATTTACAACTTGATTTTATCATTCAATATTTTGGTTTTTCAAGATTATTGTGAAAGATATAGACAGATACAGATCTACTTCATTCATTTTAAATGCTGTATAGAATGCATTGTACTGACAAAGCAGAGGATATCCATTATTCTACTTAGACACAGTAGATGTTTTAATTCCTTGCTATTGCAAACCAAACTACCATGTTACAAATGAGTGACTTTGTACAAACCTCTTTGTTCATCCAAGATTACTTTAGAAAAGACATCTAGAACTACTGGATCAGAGATGAACACATCTTCAGCTTTCCTTGGACTTCAATAATTGCTCTCCAAAGTGGTGGTACCTATAATTTGTATGAGTCCATTTCCCTACATCTTCACCAATGTTTGATGTTAGGAGATTTGCTAATTTTTTGCCAATATGATGGGTGCAAAATCATTTTCAGTCTCAAAATCAGGTTTCAGTTTTCATTTCCCTGATTGTTAACAGGGTTGAGAATCTTTTTAGATGCTTAATAGTTACCAATTCACAATTTTTGTAAACTGTCTACATTCTTGTCTCATTTTCTTTTGGATTGTTAGTTACAGCCATGTTGGAATTCTTTATTATATATCAATTATTTGATGATTATATGGGTTTTAATTATTTTCTCCCATTATGTGAATTTAATTTTTACTTTATCTTTTACTATATCTTTTATATAGAAGTTTTAAGTTTTAAGTAGTCCGAGTTATCTACCTTTAGAGTTTGCTTATGTTCTTCTATTCCGTTTGTTCCCATACATGTGTGTACATAATTTTACATAAACAGTACATACTACTATTATCAAACTGTATGCATTCTTTTCCAACTTGCTTTTCTTACTCAATATTTTGTTCTAATATTTTACCTGTATCAGTCAGTTAGTTCAGTTGCTCAGTCATGTCCAACTCTTTGCAACCCCATGGACTGCAGCACGCCAGGCTTCCCTGTCCATCACCAACTCCCAGAGCTTGCTCAAACTCATGTCATTTGAGTCAGTGATGCCATCCAACCATCTCATCCCCTGTCATCCTCTTCTCATCCTCCTCCTCTTCTCCTCCTGCCTCCTCTTCTTCACAGCATCAGGGTCTTTTCCAGTGAGTCCATTCTTCACATCAGGTGGCCAAAGTGTTGGAGCTTCAGCTTCAGCATCAGTCCTTCCAGTGAATATTCACTGATTTTCTTTAGGACTGACTGGTTTGATCTCCTTGCAGTCCAAGGGACTCTCAAGAGTCTTCTTCAACACCACAGTTCAAAAACATAATTTCTTCAGTGCTAAGCCTTCTTTATGGTCCAACTGTCACATCCGTACACGACTACTAGAAAAACCATAGCTGTGACTGTTATGGACCTTTGCAAGCAAAGTAATGTCTTTGCTTTTTAACATGCTGTCTAGGTTTGTCATAGCTTTTCTTCCAAGGAACAAGCGTCTTTTAATTACCTGTATGGATTTTTAAAATCTATTTTATTTCTCTTAACAGATCTTACATAATAATGATATTCTCTTATCTTCTAAAGCTTACAGTTTTATCTTCATATTTAAGTCCACCTGAAATTAATTTTTGTGTCTAGTGTGAGGTAAGGATCTAATTTTGTCTTTTTCTGTATGGGGAGACAATTGTCAGAACCATTTATTAAACAGTCTATTCTGTTCCATTATCCTATTTGTCTTTTCCTATGCCAATACCCACTGTCTTAATCCTATAATTTTATGTTAAACCTTACTATCTAGTGAATATATGTCTCCCTTCTTCAAAAGCTCTTCTTGGCTCTTCATTCATCCAAATGAAATATATTATCACCTTTCACGTGAAATTTAGTTGTATAAAAACAATGTTATTGAAGTGTTTGTTGAAATTGCATTGAATTTACAAGTTAAAGGGCAGACAACTGCTATTTTTTATAGTATTTGTTAAAGTAATATGGCTCATTTATTTAGGTTTTACTTTATATTTTTCTACAGGTTTATGTTATTGATAAAGGAGTTAATAAAGTTTATTTATAAAGGAGTTGCCCATTTTTTGTTAGATTTATTCATAGAAAATTTGTAACTTCTATTGCTATTTTGTGTTTCATTGTTATTTTAAAATACACTGTTATTTTATCTAGTAATCTTGACAAATTCTCTTCTTATATTCCACAGTTTTTCTTGAAGAGTTTCTTGAATTGTCTATGAAAACAATCTTGTTGTTAGATCATCTTTCTTTCTTTCTAGCCCTTATATCTTTTATTTCTTATTGTGCTGGCTTGGAGTTCCAATAAACGTATAATAGATGTAGTGAAAGCAGGCACCTTTGTTTTGTTCCTGACTCTAAAGAAAATGCTTCTAACATTTCTCCAATGCACATGATATTTTTTATAGATTTTTGGTAAACTTTACTAAGATGTGGGTGTTCCCTTCTGTTCTTAGTTTACTGAGAGATTTTGCTTCATTGAGTGTTGAATTTTATTTGCTGGTTTTCCACTATCTAGTGATATGGCCTTTCTCTTTTACTATGTTAATGTAGAGCATTACATCAATAAACTTCATCCTAATGTTAAGCCATCACTGAAATCTTGAGATC